TTTGGAAGTACAAAATTTTTTTTTTTTTTTTTTTTTTAATGAATCAACACTCTTGTACAATTATTAAATATTTAATTCCCACTGTCATGACCCCTTTAACCACAGATTATTCCATAACTCAGATATATTAAAATGTTCTTAGAATCTCTGCATCAGGATGTGAAACTGCACGTATGCATATTCTTAAATAAACAAGTGTTTGATTCCCCTTAGGCTCTTTACTCATGTTGCACATCTGGATTCAGTCATGTAGTGGTTGTTGTTTTCAGCTGTAATTTATCAGTGCAGTAATTTCATGTTATTGATTATAGGAGATCTGTCATCCTGCAGTGTTGTGACAATGAGATTGCTTCATTAATGTGCTGTATACAGAAAATGTTTGCATTACTGCATTATTTAGACACATACAGACATCAAGAAACACCGAATCTCAACAATGGTTACAATCAACCAAATATTCAGATAAACTGACCAATTCTGAACATAAATAAATGCAAATAATAAGAATAAGAGGAGACACTAAGGCAATGCAGCTGCATAATTTGATGCTGCAATGCATGCTGGGATTCATAGGTGAGTTTTGTACTACCATTATGCATTGTGGCATGAAGCTTTATGTTGATTTTCACATTATTGAGATTCATACATTCCTGATGTCTTGTGTCTAAATAATGAAGCAGATATAAAATTCTTCAAATTATCTGATTGTCACAATACTGCTAAATCTCATGCTACGAAATCACATTTAGACAGATTAAATCAATGAACCAGAGCACTATATGATGATTACTGTATTTTATCATCAAGTAACCAACATCATCTGATCACATTATCTCTTGACTTTCTTTGCCAAAAAAGTCACAGCACAGAAGCCAGTTAAAAAAAATCAAGGGTTAAGAGCTCAGATAATGCAAACATAAAAACACAACCAGACTATGTTTTTCAATAAAACATAATCTAACATCAACATCTAAACCCCTGTAAATTTTCAATAACTTCTGTAGATGACAGAAATAAAGTCAATCTGGTGAATAATAAGTGAAGCTGTTTGTGGGGTTGTTTAATCCTCCTCTGCTGAGCTCTTGAGAGATTTAATGCCTTCTTTTAGTTCAGTTGATTTCATCTAAGGTTCTTAATTATGGGTGTCAGAACCATTGTATGTGGGTGGGACAAGACCCACCCACTTTTAATGTTCTGTCGAGCATGCAACATATGTAGTTTTGTGTGTTGTGTGTTGTGCATAGCAGCTGTAGGTCTCTGGCTAACTCACGTTATAGTTCTGCTAATCAGGGGCCTGTACCATGATGGTAGTTGAACAAATTCAGAGTTACAGGATTAGTTTCGAGGTGACAAAACCAAACCACTCCAGTCTGGCTTTGTTGGTACCATGATGCTGATCATCAACTTTCTTTGTCAACTCAGGCTTTGATCCTGAGTTTGACATGTGTGATCATCAGTGGTGAACAGCCAATAACATGCCTTGCATCACAGAGCTAGTGTGATTCACTTCCCGCAAGTCAACGAGATCAAAAACTCTTTAACTAAATGTTAAGAGATTGAAGAATATGAGGAATTTAAACTCATTTACACTGAAGAAAGTACTTGTCCATGAAAGAGGACAAATGACAGAAATGATCTTGCTCTATCAGTGCAGTCACAACTTGTGAAGTTAGTTTATATAGTTGATCATTTATAGCAATAGAGACTCAAACATGTAAGGTCACACGTAGTAATTTTTAAAGTGTTATCTATTGATTCTACAACTTATTTATAATTACATACGATCTGTATATATTATTATTCATTTAAAATAAATACTACTAAAATAATTGTTAAACTGAGATTGATTGTGTGTAATGGATTACTAATAATAATATAAATCATATAATAATTATATAAATAATATAAAATATTATTTATTATTTTAAGTATTATCATTAAAGCCAGACCATTTTGTTGCTTTTTTACTATATAGTGACATTCAATTTTGAGAAAGAGAAACTGGGGGAGTGACTTTTTTGCATCAAACATCAGTCACTTTGCTCACATCTGATTGTTCCAATTTCAGTTTGAGATCTCTAACACAGAACATAACCTGCCCTGAAGCAGGTTAGCTGTGCCGTGTAAGTTACTATGGCAATGAACGCCGCTAAAAGCCAAGCCACTTTCAGGGTACCTAAAACCCAGGATTGGTGCAAAATAAACTGAATCTTACCTGGCTAGCCAGCTAATCTAGCTTCATGGTAAAGGCCCCTGATGCGATGGCAACAGAAGTTAATGCATTGAAGCCTTATTGTTACTGAGAAGCAGTAAGGAAGTTGGGTGCCATTTTCTTTGTTAAATCTTTTTTCGGTAACACTTTATTTTGATGGTCCTTTTTGAGCATTCTGTCAAATAACTCTCATTAGAGTATTAGTAGACTTTTTCTGAATAATATCTACTAACTCTTTATTGTGATGGTCTCCCAACAGACATTCTACTGACTATAAATAACTTTGCACATAAGTGCATGTCAACTTATTCTAACCCTAACCCTACCCAATTTATTCGAACCCTAACCCTACCAGTCTACCAATACTCTACTAACACTCTAATGAGAGTTAGTAGATATGTAGGTGCAATGATACTTTCAGTCAACAGAATGTGTTAAAGGGACCATCAAAATAAAGTGAAACCATTTTTTCTTTCGTGAGGTTCCTCATGAGTTATGACGAGAGGATTTTCCATAATCCAGTCAGATATATTTAGATTTTCTTAGAATCTCTGCTTCAGGAAATGAAACTGCACGTATGCATATTGTATGCATATTCTTAAATAAACCAGTGTGTGGTTCCCACTAGGCTCTTTACTCATGCTTCATATCTGGATTTAGTCATGTAGTGGTTGTTGCCCACCTGTGGGATGCTTGGCACTCTTTTTTGTCCTTTTTCTCTATCAAATCTTTTAGTAATCATCATAAATCATATATCATTTGAAAGCTTAGAAGCCCAAGATTCATCCTGTGAAAGCCATTTCGAAATCGGACATTGCGTTACCATGGAAATGGTACTTTAAAATATTTTGCCGGTCTCCTCCCCCTTAGTGGGCGGTGTCAAGTGTCATGCATTACGGTCTTTTAGAATCAAAACTTTTTATAATCTTGACAAAAAACATATCATTGGAAAGGTCTGAGTCTCAGGATTATTTTGAGATAAAAGTAATATTGACAGAGAAATCTAGACATTTGTGACAGAAAAATGCATTTAGAAAATTGAATGGCGTTTGGATGGCACCCGGTGGCTGTTTGTGGAATAACGCCCTAAATAAAATCTCACAGGAAACTCAGTTTTTTTTCATATCAACTTCAAATTTGGAACATAACTTATTTAGACATAAGGCTATAATTTTATACCAATTTTAGAGTAAAACCTGTTATGTCAAATATTTATTATATATAAAATTAAATAAATACAGTAGAAGAAAATATGGGGGACTACCTGTCAAAAGTGATTGATTTATGACCCCAGGTGTCAAATTGACCCCTCTGACGTCCTGTCCCTGTTCCTGTTTCCTGATGTTTATGACCCACAGATGTCAAATTGAAACCTCTGATCTCCTGTGTCGATCTGACACCTCTGACCTCCTGTTCCTGTTTATGGCAGTGGTCATTTTGTGATCATGATGTGATTCAACCATTTTGTTTTACCATGTGTTATGAAGTGTTACAGCCATCTCAGATTGGGTTGGTCCTTCAAGCAGTCTAGTTGTTTCACGCCTTTGAATAAGAACAAGAATGAATGAGATGAGAGGAATCACACTCTTATGTTTTGGGATGAAAGCCTCTTCCAGACATTTGTCGTTATTGTCATCAATGGTTTCTCAATAGATCAAAATGGCAAACAATTATCCAAGTCAGCAACTATCTAATCCATCCATGCTACTGAAAAAAGTGTTATGCCTGGACATGTTCTTTTAGACCCTAAGAGTTGCAGTACATTTTCCACTCATGAAGGCAAATGAAGAAACAATAAAATAGTTTAAGAAATAAAACAAGAAAGTTCTAAGAGAACTTACATGATATAAAGTGAGATCCATGCAGTCCAGTTGCCTATCCAACCCTCTACGCACACCTTGGCAATATAATCGCCATTGGCTAGTAAAATTTTTTGTTTACTCGCCAGACTGATATACTATTTTACACACACACACACACACACGTTTACTTAGCTATCTAAATGGGGACATTACATAGACTTTGATTGTTTTTATATACAGATAGTTATACACTTTTTAACCTAACCCTACCCCTCACAGAAAACTTTCTGCATTTTTACAATTTCAAAAGTAAAAAAAAAACTTTGTTTATTTTTATAACAGTTTTACAAATGAGGACATCCACAAATTGAGGTTTTTGCCGATTTTGTACAGCATAATGAGTATACTATTACCTTTGGTTACCTGCATGCCAACAAATGGCATTTTCTTCCAGACACACCATCTCAGCCTTATCGGTGGGGCCAATCCAGGAGAGTGTGTAAGGAGGGTAATGCGGGCAGTAGCCACCAACAACGTATGGAGCCACTACAGCCTGCATGGGAAGCGAAAGAAGCTGGCTCTGATTAAAACAACAATGTGCAAAGTTATCACACGTGAGTAACAATGATTAGTTTATGAACAGAGACAAATGTGTAACAAATTTGACACTGAAATAGTAAAGCTGCCATTACATCATATTGTCTTGACTTTATACAAGTCCTTTCTGCATTTTCTAGCACAACTTTATTTTATTTTTCTTTACTTTTTAACAAAATTAAAAATTCAGTTTTTGACATTGGAATACTTTCTGTAAAGATACTTTAATTAGTATGATTTTTATAGTATGACAAAATAGTATGATTAATTAAATTATAAGTGTATACATTGTATTTAAATTATACACTTGACATTTATATCTAATTTATACACAATTGAACATATGAATAAACACACTGATAAAACAAGCATGAACAACGTTATGGTATTACATACTGTAACGGCTGTGACTTCTGTTTAATTCCAGATGCGGTCATGAAATGGAAAGCTGGTCTTGGGGAGAAGGAGATAGAAAGTTTAATTGCAGAGACTCTTAAACATGCGCCGGCGCACATAAATAAAAGTGCTGAGGTATGAAAAGCAGAGAATGTTCTGTAATTAAAAGCCAAACAGAAGCAGTATAAAATAAAAAAACACTGACGATTACAAATGGCCCATAACACGTGCACGAACACGTGAAAAACTGTCATAAATAAAGAATTTCTTCATTAAAATATACACCTGTGAAATTACACATGAAATTGACAACATGCACCTTTTAAAAATCACAGATCTTACCTCTGTAACAATTATAAACTAGAATTTACCCATCATCTACTATACTCAACATGACCATGCAATTTGTACCAAACATATGCACTTTGACAATTGATGACGCTTAAGAACTTTATAGAAATGTATTTATCGATATAAAATACGATCAGTATATTATAAACTTACCGCTGATTGTGAGTGTACATCTATGATAAAAAAAAAATCAAATCGCCGCGTTTACAGACAATTTGAAATCAAACGTTCAACAGCTAGGTTAATCTTCAGATCAGTATCTCCTGCGCAAACCAATCGGAGATCAATTTGAATGTTGCTAAGGGCTTTCAGCCAATTAGAGATATTATACACTATTATTGTGCTATTTTGCCATGCACACAAGACTACTTTTGCTATACTATTTTTGCCATATGAATATATTTTATTAAAAATAGATAAATAAATACTAGTTTGTTCTAAACAATAATTCGGGCTTTAAATACCCCCAACATAAGTGAAACATATGTACCAAATCGTGACAAATTACCTTTCGTCGTGGACCCATTAAACGGTTACGCTGTGACAAACAAACGAACAAAAAAGTTTCCTTTATTCCTTGCCACAAAGTAACTTTTGTGACAGTTTAAAAGTGAGCGATTTTAACACAAAACGATCTGCTTAATACATATTGCTGCTTCTTTCAGTGCTAATTGCCTTGTGTATTTTAATGTTAAAATGGGAAAACACTCACCTGTTCTTTCTTTCTTTCATTTTTCTTGTTTAGGGACACGTGGAGGAGTAGATGTGGAGAATGTTCAAGCTTCTGAAGAAAACCTTTGTTAATTTACATGTTTATAAACCTGTTTAATGTTTTTGTTATTTGTGCTTTCTCTATAGGCCTATCTATAATAAACGAACTGAATTAATCAAATTCGAGTCTTTCATATGTCATTGAAAAGGTCTCTTAAATAGTTTTGGGCAAATGAGGACAAGTTAAATTAGCGACGTCCGCCCATATTGATTAAATAATTAAAATGACGAACTGGTTACCAACACACGACTATTGATCCACGAGGTCGCCATGACGTTGCCACGACGTCGCAGTTACTTACTGGCAACGTCACAAAGTTACGTTGCGGCGACGTATACGCACCTTTCACTTTTCCGGTTGCCACGACGTAACTTGTTACGTCGCCACGACGAAACTTTGGTCACCAGATTACGTTACAGTATGAGATCATCCGTCTGAATCTCAGCAGCAGTCTGGAGAAGGACAGAAGCTCTCTCCTTCACTCACATTGACTTCACTTCATTAGTGATGTCCGGTTCGTGAACGAATCGTTCGATTTAACCG